ATTATACTTTTAGATGACAGAGCAATTTAAAAACATAAATCCATGACACACTACACCAGTTATTACTCTAGTTATTAAGCCTCTATATTGTTTCCAATGGGAACATTATACGGTAGGCTGTCTTTGAGATTTTGCTGTCTGCTATGTTTGGAAATACGTTAAACATCCAATCCATCTTGATCCTTATCAAATCCACAATTATCGTTATGATTTATAACTATCTCCTCAGTTTAAACAGCTGCAAAATAGGGTGGAAAGTAGGTCTTTGCTAACAATAGAAGTACATCTGGAACACATTTGTTGGTTCAAACACACTGTATGCATTATTGGTTACCTCTATGTGAACCCCATTTTTTAAACTTTGGTCATAGGTTGATGTTGAATATAATGCAGATGTCACGAATCCTGTCCATGGACTTCCGTTCGATCACCTCCAGAGGTCACCCTTCCATTACATTGACTCTCGCACTACACAAACTGTTGCATGTCATCCCAGACTACATATCCCATCATCCATTGCACTAATTGCACATAGCTGTAACCAATCACACATTCACTATATAACACTCACTCAGATCTCTTTCAGTCTCCCGAGTATTGTTTAGCGCTTATCGCGTGATAGCTACTTTACGGAGCCTTTTCCCTGTGTTAGTTTCTAGTTTCTAGTTTCTAGTTCCTAGTTCTAGTCTTAGTCTAGTCTCGCTGTGTTTTCTGATTTCCTGGTACCTGATTTTTGCCTGTTTATCTTGAGTTAACCTTTTGCCTGCTGTTTCGGACTGTGTTTGCACCTCGCCTGGACTCTAGCTCGTGTTATTGGATAACCCCTCATGTCAAGCCCTCTGGATATTGTTAGCCGCTTATCGACCACGCCCATTTTGGATTACTCTTCTGTCTTACCCTCAATATACCTGTTTGCCATTGTCTGACCCATGCCTGTTTTATGACCACGTCTCTGTCTCCTATTAAAGCTTTGCAAATGGATCCGCAAGTCTCATGTCTCGTTCGCCCCTTAACAGCAGATTTCATGGTTTGATGGGGTTTGTCTCAATGGATTAGCTATAAAGAACACTAAAGTCTAAAACCTTGTGTGAAAATGTTCACAGAAAAATGAAAGACTGATATTAATGATGTTTTGTCCTGATACACACAATACCTGTGCAATTGGTGACATATCGACATATTTAATTTAAAAGCTACAGGTGAAGAGTCTTGTGAATAACGACCTTGCTTCTCCACACAACATTGCATGGTTTCAGAAGACTTGGAATACAGAACATGAGTTATATGGACTACTTTAATATTGCTTTTTTTTTTTTTTTCCCTGGCCATGCCCTTCATTCATATGCACCTGCACCTGTAATGCCAATTTCTACTGGCAAATGACACTTCTTGACATTAGCAGGTTGTCACAATAACAACCACGTAGACAGAATAGAAACAAATATTTAAGGAGGTTGAGGTTTACTTTGTTTTTCCACTCTAAGGTTGTACAGGTATTCCTCTGTGCAAGCAGTTAATTCAGTGGAAATTGCTGATGGAAAGAACAGAGGAGCTCATTTCAGTGTGTGAAAACACTCTTGATTTCCCTGAGGCAGTGTCCAAGATTTTTTCACGCTTTTCACACACAAACAAAGGCTACAAACTCATGAGTGTTGTTTCATGCTGTTTTATTATTTATTTTAAAAAAAATTTGTGATGTGAAGTTTGTACAAGTGCAATCAAAGACAGGCTAACACATTACAAAACTATATTAGGCTAATGTAATAAAAGTATGTCTATATGTTATTCACACAATGATTGACTGAAATTAGACAGTCTTATCTGGAAACATGGAATAATAATTATAAAATTACTGAACTACATTTTTCTTGCACTTGAAGCTCATCGCTTCTTACTGTGATGTGCTATAACACATTTTGGCTGACAACCGTGTGCACTTGGTCAGTTAATGGAAGAGTCAGTCTGTCAGTCTAATCTTTGTCAAAGGATAATGAGTACTTGTTGTGTAAAAAGTTTACAGTTTTTTTTCAACTGCTTACAAACTAAATTTTTACTTGTCACACAATTTCTGAAACCTGACACTCAAACACTGAACCACACACCAAATCTGCAAATCCATACACTAATTCTCGGCTTTTGACTCAGTATTCAATTTCATAAAACACTTTTTTGCAAAACACAACACACAATTCTCTATGTAACACAATCTAACAGGAATTAATATTATGGCAAAGGATTGGTTTTGAGATGTGTTTGTGATATTTTGAATGCAGTGCTTCATTTTGCAAGAGATGTGAGGCATTTTGTGTGTGCAATTCTTGGATTGGTGTGTAAAGTTTTGAAAATGTGTGTAAACAGTTGAACCCCCCCCCAGTAATATCAGTCTTTAAATTGTGTTCGCCTTTACCACATACTGTATATATACTGACATTTTACTGACATACACATTGCCTTTAGTAATTTTTGAGGGGACAGAACTATTGAAAAGTCACATTTGAGCAGGCTAGGTTTTAAAAAAAAATTAATACAAAATAAAATATAAATAAAGAAATTAATTAATTAAATAAATAAAAAATTGTGTTCCCTATGAGCTTTTGAAAAATAACCAAATTATTGAAAGTGACAGTCATAATATGCAAGATGGAGAAGTAAATATGAATCAACGTTATCAGTACAAGATGTCAAAAATCATATTTACAGGCCAGGGTATATAATGAGCCAGACTGCGGTACAAGTAGGATTGCTTTGCTAAGTCCGGACCTGGTTGACAAATCAGAGGACACTGCCAGATGTGTGCAAAGAGAAATAAGAGAAGATTCACCGTGACAGCTGTCATTTTCTTGCTTTATTACTTCAGTTGATACGAAAAGCAGATAAACCTGTCACCTTTCCATCATGTGGAATGCCCTGCTTTAAGTGATTATCTTAAAAATTGTGAAGTGGCAATGTACAAGAATGCATTATTTCAAGTGTTCAATATTATGCTACAGTTAATTTGAATGAATTTTAAAGGTCAAAGCAAAATGTAAGACAAAATACATGCCAGGCAATTGATCAAGTGTTTAATGAGTTTGGCGAGTGGATGACTGGTTAAAGAGAGAGCCTCTCTAGATTGTTCTTTTCTAGGGCCGTAATAGATTCATACCTTCAAAACGCAAGAGCACACAAATGTTAAAAGAAATAATGTTGAACCTGTGACCTATTTTTAAATGTAATCAGGTTCCACTGTATTGGTACCACCATATATTCAGATAGATAGATAGATAGATAGATAGATAGATAGATAGATAGATAGATAGATCTCAGAGAAAATCAGACATTAGATACATTAATATCACACACAATTCATATGAAAGATAAATATTTGGAAGTTCAATCATTTTCTGACTTCCATCAACAAATCTGCTCTCAGCAAAGTGTTTGCTCATCCCTTCAGAGTTATTTTTAGTAAGAGGGCTTTGGAATAACTCTTGCCTAGAAATGGAAATTTAAGATCAACACAATGAGAACTTGGCTCTGCAGCTCTATCCCCTGTGGAATTTGTGACTTATACAAGTAGTCCAAAAAAATAAAAGAATACATAAAATTCTTAAACATCTACCATACCACAAGGGGATCTCCAAATACTAACAGAGGAAACTGTATTTCCTCTGAAGGGATCTGAAATATGCATGATCTTTTTCCTGACAGTTTTGTCTATGGTAACTTCACAATTTTTTAAGGACTCAAAGCAAATAATGGGCCTGATTCATGAGAAGACACACATGCCATTTGGAAAGTCTCTGTGTGTATGTAACAAAGGCTAATGCAAAGCACAAAACAAACATGTACCCACCTAGTAGAATTCACATTCAAAAATGGCCATAGAGAATTCTTATAAACTTGAGTTAATCAGAATGAGAGTGAATATTTCTTTAAAACCATTGCCTTAGCATATCAACTACACTCTTAAAAATAAAGGTGCTTCAAAAGGTTCTTCAAGCGATGCCATAGAAGAACCATTTTTGGTTCCACAAAGAACCATTCAGTCAAAGGTTCTTTAAAGAACCATCTCTTTCTTACCTTTTTGTAATCTGAAGAAACTTCTTTCGCCACAAAGAACCTTTTGTCAAATAGAAAGGTTCTTCAGATGTTAAAGGTTCTTTATGGAACCATTTAGACAAAAAGGTTAGCGTGAAGCACCTTTATTTTTAAGAGTGTACTTCCCAGTTAGCTAATCAAACATGTATGGTATATTTTTAAGAATAGTTCACCCAACATTTATCACATCCGCAGGTACTGTAAGTATGACCTGTTGTATGTCAAGAGAAACCTAATACAGTTTGGAACGATGTGAGTAAATATAGATAGAATAAATAACTAGTAACTAAATGTTCGCTTCCAAACTAGTCTAGTAGACTGGAATAGCTGTTTTATGTCGGCTAAAATTATTGACCCAGTTCTTCAAAAGTAATGTCAGGGCAGTTTTGTTTTGTTTTGTGAGCTGCACATCTGTGCTTTGAACTTGTCTGAAAGCTAGAACATTTTTACAAAAAAAAGGCAGTCCAAAAATATCTTTTGGGTTTGACAAACAAACACTGTTAGTGAAATATATGATCTCAATACAATTGAACAGATGAAAATCCAAACACAATTATGACAGAACATACGGTGAGTGTAAATCAAAAGAACATAAATCTGTTGTGTTATCAAAAAGGCCTGACAGTTTTCATATCCTTCATATGATTCTAAGAAAGTCATAAACCGAATAAATTATATATTTGTTTCATTATGTTGTTACATAATCTACAGCATTTATAGAAGGCCTAGTGAACTAAAAGGGAGTAACAGCACACACCCACTCAAACACACCACATCCTGATGTCAAGAGGTATATCAATCACCTCACAGTTCTAGGACATCCTCCATGCTGATATATTACTCACATTAACTTGATCCATAACATATACATGACTTACTTCTGTCACAGATTACTACGCAATCTCACATTTTCAACTCACCCCATGTTGAATCCTCAGATGAAATGTCTCCTTTTCCTCGCTCTCCCTCTTTCTCCTCTTCAAACTTTCCCTCTTTAACAGAGGCTTCTAGCAGACTGGCTTTTATTTATGTCCTTTTTTGGGATTGGAGTAGATGGAGAGAGCTTGCAGAACATTACATTACTCCCTTGCTGTAATACCCGAGAAACTTTGCCTGCCCTCTCTCTCTCTCTCTCTCTCTGTTTTATGAATCCCACTCCAGCTGAAATATACGAGATATAACCAGTCACACAAGATCACATTCAGGTGTGTTTGCATGGATGTTTCCAGCCTGTGTTTGAGAAATTCACTGGCATTGATTTAATATGTTTATGTAAAAGCATTGCTAAACTATTGCGGTTTGTGTATGGCTCTCTGTTTGTCTTATGCCATTACACTCAGGTGAAATATGGCAGGGAAAGAGTTCAAGTTCACTTGTCCGAGACACAAAAACATACCCGGTCATTAAGTGCTCTCAAGGGCTTGAAGCAACTGGGATCCAGCAGGGAACTACTTGTACCACTGAGTTTAACAGACCCAGGTAACTAGACTCTGGGGTACAGCCCTGGTAAACATGTAGGGAGAAAATGCCTCTGGAGAGTAGCAGATCTACCTAGCAGGCCTTCTCATTATGAAGAGGCACCTTCTGATTTGGACACCGACACTCATTTTCATTCATTTTCTCTGGAATAGTTAAATACGTAGGATAAACTACACTCAGATAGCATACACTCTTAAAAATAAATTTATGATGCAATAGAAGAACCTTTTTTGTCTAAATGGTTTCATAAAGAACCTTTAACATCTGAAGAACCTTTCTGTTTCACAAAAGGTTCTTTGTGGCGAAAGAAAGTTCTTCAGATTATAAAAAGCTAAGAAAGAGATAGTTCTTTAAAGAAACTTTGACTGAATGGTTCTTTGTGGAACCAAAAAATGGTTCTTCTATGACATTGCTGTGAAGAATCTTTTAAGCACCTTTATTTTTAAGAGTGTACACATTTTTCCTACAGTGCGGCATACCCCAGTGTGTTACTATATATAAATAAATATATATATATATATATATATATATATATATATATTTGCAACCACAAGGACCCATTTCTTAATACTTAAGTCACTTTTTCAAAACTCTTCACACAGTGAGCAAAATGTGGGCTAAACTGTAGATCGTTTTCCATTCCCTTGGCACAAAATATATTCAATGCATTCACACTGCTTCAAATTACATGAATTATTTTCTCATTTAGACACAACCACAGCCAAAACACTATGGCCAATTTGCACGTTTACATACTCTTTTCAAAAACTTTACATAATACAAAACTGAACAAGCAACAGCAATTTACTAGATTTCTACTACAGTAATATGATATTGAAATATACACTAAATCTATAAATTAAATACCAAAACAATTCAGAAAACAGACATAGCTGAAGTTTTACACAGTTATCACTAATTTACAGGGTTTTTTTTCAACTGCTTACACACAAAATCTTTACTTGTCACACAATTTCTGAAACCTGACACTCAAACACCAGAACCACACACTAAATCTGCAAAACCATACACTAATTCTCGGACTTTGACTCAATTTCATAAAACACTTTTTGCAAAACACAACAAACAATTATTTATGTAACACATACAAATCTAACAGGAATTAATATTATGGCAAAGGTGTTTGCAAATAATTGCTTTTGAAATGTGATTGTGATATTTTGAATGCAGTGCTTCATTTTGCAAGAGATGTGAGGCATTTTGCATTTTGTGTGTGCAATTCTTGGATTTGAGTGTAAATAAAAAAAAAAAAAGAGGCAAATTTTTGAAAATGTGTCAGTAGTTGAAAAAATCTGTAAATCACCATTCAAAGATGTGTTTTCCATCCAGTTTTAGTTATATTAAAAACATGCATTTTACAACTTTTTTTCTGCTCATTTAATCCAACTGATCTTGATGTTTACTTAATAATTTTGTAAATCTATAGATTTTCAACCAGCCTGATTGTTGTGTATTGGTAAGATGTAAAGACATAGTGCAATTGCTGTAGGAGCTTTCACTCGGGAGAGAGCAATTATTATAAATCCCAGTTATTACATTTACTTTCACCTGGTGATTAGAATTAGATACCATATAAGAACTGTATATGAGAATTTGTAAAGTGCAAACATGGAGCAGGACAGATTTGAAGAGAGAGGAAACCTTCATAGCGATCAATGAGGTAGACATGGACCCTGCCAAAGATGTGGCCATGGGTCTAAACAAAGAGTCGTCAGAAGAATGTAAGCAAAATGCAACGTACTGTCATTTCAAATTACATCCAGGCCATCATAGTTGACCATGTGGTTAACAGAGGCCGTCTCACATACAGTATGTAACCCTAGTTCCTCGAGGGAACGAGACGCTACGTTGAAAATGCTAGGGGAACGCCTTCTGTGACCCACGCTCTGAATCACATGTGAAATCAGTCCAATAGCTGAACGGGACGTCTAAGAAAGCCTTAGAGGCTGCCACACTTCAAGTCGAGTGAGCATTGACCCCTAACGGCGAGGGGAGATCAGAGGACTCATAACATAAGGAGATGGCATCCACTATCCACCGACTGAGGGTCTGCTTAGTTGCTGGAAGACCTCTCTGAGTGGGACCATAGCACACAAGCAACTGGTCCACCCTCCTAAACAGGGCAGCTCTGTGGACATATGCATCCAGTGCTCGCACTGGACACATACAGTTAAGCTTCTGCTGGTCTGGTTCCCCAAAGGGAGGAGGACTGAAGGCCTGAAGTACAATGGGCTGTGATGCTGATGAGGGGACTTTTGGGACATACCCCACACGAGGGTACAGAAATGCTTTGGCCAGACTGGGCGCAAAGTCAAGATAGGAAGGGGCCACCGAGAGGGCCTGTAAATCCCCAACTCTCTTAAGATAAGATATTGCCAGAAGAAAGGTAGCCTTTATTGTAAGATGGCGATCAGAAATCTCTTCGATAGGCTCGAATGGAGGCCTACAGAGAGCTTCTAGCACCACTGCTAGGTCCCATGTAGGGACACGAGTTCGTAACGGAGGCCTCAGCCTCAGCGCACCGCGGAGGAAACGTGTAACCAGGGGGTGTCTCCCCACTGAAATGCCACCAAGAGGGGCATGGTAGGCCGCAATGGCCGCCACGTAGACCTTCAGGGTGGAGTGGGTTAACCCTGTAGAAAACCGGGCCTGCAGGAACTCCAGTACTGCACCAACTTCGCAGCTAGCTGGGTCGAGCTGGCGGTCTCTACACCAGGAAGTGAAAAGTTTCCACTTCCAAGCGTAGTTTCCTCGTGGAGGGAGCTCTGGATTGGAGGATGGTCTCAACAACCTCAGTTGAGAGACCGGAACCTACTAGTTACTAGCTACTACCCTCAGGGGCCACAGCCATAACTTCCACAGCTCCGGGCGGGGGTGAAATATAGTGCCCTCCGCCTGTGAGAGGAGGTCCCTCCTGATGGGAATCTCCCATGGAGAGCCGTCGAGAAGAGAAATCAGGTCCGAGAACCATACTCGGCCCGGCCAGAACGGGGCTACTAACAGTAAGCGGACTCCGTCCTGGCGCACTCTCTCCAGAACTCCTGGGAGCAGAGCAATCGGGGGAAAGGCGTACAGGCGAAGCCTCGGCCACGCCTGTACCATGGCATCCAGCCCCAGCGGAGCTGGATGAGTCAGAGAGCACCAGAGGGGACATTGCGATGTCTTCTGAGTCGCAAACAAGTCCACCTGAGCCTGACCAAAAATACTCCATGTCTGCCTCACCACCTCGGGGTGAAGCATCCATTCCCCGGGCCTCGGCCCCTGCCTCGACAGGATGTCTGCTACCACATTGATATGCCCAGGAATGTGCATCGCTCTCAGCGAGAGGAGCCTCTCCTGGGACCACACAAGGATCTGGTGTGCCAATTTGTATAAACGGTAACAGAAATAAAATCCATAACGTTTGTAAAAGTATCCAAACAGTGTGACGAAGGTGTGATGAAGATACGATGAAGATACGAGACACGCATCCATGAAGTTTTGTGCTAAACAGTTTGCTGCCATACAATACATGTTCTCACTGTACCATTTGACTGAATATAGTTGATTTTCAAAATAAGGGTTAGTTAAAGTAATCTGGCTGTCTCTACAATGGTAAGGCCTCCGTTTACAGTATCACGTGTCATATTGCAATATAAAATGTTTTTTAAATCAACAGTTATCTGCCATATGTGAACACTGAGGTTATCGTCAGGGCTAAATTGCTTATAATGTACATTATACTTTGTAATCTGTTTCAGAAACTGCAAACCAGTTCTACAGAATCTTTATCTATATCTATATACTGTCACGGTGCGTAGGAGGGAAACGAGGAGATTACTTTCAAAACTTGACTTTTAATAAACAAACCACATGAAAAGGACCACTAACGTCTCGGTTACGTATGGTAACCCTCGTTCCCTGAAGGAGGGAACGGAGACGTCACGTCGGATGACTGACGAAATTGGGATCTCGCTTAGAGAGACCAATCCACTTCGAGTGTAAACTAAACGAGCCAATGCACATTGGCATGCGATTATTGCATCCAGCTGCTGCTGATCACTGCGTGAGTATAAGTAGGCAGCAGATGCAGCGCATATTCAGCTTTTCGCTTCGGAGCCGAGCGGTTCTATCGTTCTGCTCCTGACCTTCTACGTAGAGTAAAAACTACAGTCAAGCACGCTCTTCGTGGGCCCGGTCCGAGGCGGGGTCTGGGTGTGTGTAACACTGACCTGCATTTGAGCAGAGGGTGCGTGGGTAGTCTGTTGGTTCGTCCTCCCGATCCGCCCGCTGCTGCTCACTGGCGAGAAAGGAGGGTGAGTGTGATACGGCCCTGGATCGTCCACAGCCCCCCGTCCCCTCAGGGTACCCAGAGAATGAAGAAATTGCTCTTTTGTTGAGAATTTGGGTACCACTGGCCGCGAGGTCAGTGGCAGAAAAAAGGAAACAAAAGATTCTCCGCCTGGCCCTCCTCCGGGGGAGGGAGTGGTGCATTCACCACCTCCC